AGACCTGCTTCCCATTAGTAGTAAAAAAAATAGTTGGAACAGACAGCTTAGCTTGAACTACGATTTAGCTATAACCCATGCTTGCCCGGCTGGCAACAGTTGTAGTCTTAGAATGAATCCACGATGAAATTCTTCCTAACAACTATGTGTGCTGATAACATCATGTTTGATAAGAATCGGAGAGAGCAAACCGTAATGAAAACAATGTAGAAAGAAGAAAGAGGGGAAGAAAGAGAGAATGCGAATGAGCGAAAAGGTGAGACTAAGGTTAACAAAAATGTAAGCAATACAGTAAAAGAGAGTTATTTGCACATCAAGAAAGCGTAGACTATAATTCTTGCTTTCGTGAGATTTGCTGTTTCAGGGTTTGCAAGTCGTTGGCCAGCTGATTCACCATCTCCAGAAGGTTTTCCAGTGATACCACTTGGCCATGATCTTTATCATGATCAGTCATTCTAGAACAATATTCCGTATATTGATAAAATAATTCTTTTCCTTGGTTTTATTATTTATTGTCTACTCTTTTTAATGGCAGGGTATGCTGGGAAGTATAACTTCAACGATGCTAAGATATTTGCAAAACTCCGGATCGCAGCTATTTGCGGTGGGGAACAAACGGGCTATTACGCTTTCCGGAGGCTAACACGTTCACCGCCGCAACCTGCCGTGTCCTTCGTTTCCCCTCTCTTTTCCTTGACTTTTTTTCTCGGAATCTTGGTGCAATTGTCGTCGAGTTTGCCATAACTTTCGCTATGTTCCCTTTTAAGGTAAGGTACAAGGTTCCTAAACATTTCATAACTGGTAGGGTGAGACCTACTGATCAAATGAATCGGTACTCCATCAGAATTGCAGACGTTTTTTATCACACATCCGTCGTCTGCTTGGCTCATATAGATGGAATTCTGTATATCACCAAATCCCACTTCTCATATAATACTTACTTTATTCCTCTTCTATATGTTTGTTTCGACTAATTTCAAAAGTAATTTTAAACGTTAGAAGTTCTTTAGTTAAGAATGGAACACGATAGAACAACTCACTTTTTTAAAAGTTGTGCAACGTCTTCTCCAAACTTTGGTTGCATCTCGAGGTGTTTCATGCGATATAGTATCAAGGTGTTCAGAAACAGTAATCCAGTCAGGAGGCCTAAATTTCAACCATATTATGGGAATCATATCACTGTCTGAGCATCTGTGGCGCACTGGTTGGAGGCGCTTTGCAACACACACATAGAATCGATCCCCACGCCCATGGCTCACCAAGCCTTCCATACTTCCGGGGTCGGCAAATTGGTACCAGATTTGTCTAGGAGGATAACAGCACTGGCTCGATAAATCGATATGCCAACGTGAGTTATTGTAAAGGCCGGATATGAATTCAATCACCTCCAAAGGAGGCTTAATGAAGTCGAATGCATGGCGCATCTCTCCAGATTGACAAACGACGAGAGCTTTATTCTTTGTATCACTGTCTGCAACGATTTCTCGAGCTTCTAGCTATAGAGTTCGAGCCATGTGCACCGGAAATCTCCATAATCCAAGTTATAATGCTGTTTTGAAGTGCATTTCGATATTCTATACGTGATTGTCGTGCGATCTTTGTTTGACTATGGTTAACGTTTCGACTTCAACTACGAAAAAAAAAAAACGAAAGGGAACTGTAAAACTTTGTAAGAATGTAAAATTCATGGTTATATTGGACCGAGTCACGAGATTACAAGATAATCATGGAAGGATTTTGTTTAATATGCAGTAGCCCTATGATGAAAGCCAAGCTGCATGAGCAAGGTAGATTTCATCCTGACTTATTCGCACTTACATATGATAATCCTAATATAGAATCCGTAGTCGGTTGGTGTGGTGATCGTGGTTGCGCTGTCGGTCGATGCAAGCCCAGTCTTTTCTGAACAAATCAATGACAGAGAATTTCGATCAGTTGTCCAAATTTATGGTTGAGAAAGATCAGATGAGAACGTGAGTGCATTTGAGGCAGTGGTGCAGCCGAAACAGGGCCGATCGATGAGTGCAGTGCAGTAGTAGCAGGGAATGAATGGAAAGGGAATAGTGTACTTGTTGAATAGATGTGCTCATTACATCGTTTTCAATTCTCATTACTAGGGAAGAAAAGCTTTCATCTTCCATGAAACGTCTTCTAAAATTTTCGACTACGTTGTGCGGAAACAAATACTCTGTATAATGAAATTCTAGAGTGTCTCGTTGGATGGAGTTAATCGAATACTTAGGTTAGGTTAGATAGCTTCAGCTTTTTAGATGACTCAGAAATTCCTGCTATGTGAGTTTAGCGGGAAAAAAGCTGGTAAGGTAAGGGTTTTGGAGGACGGCACATCAAAACAAACACATGGAAATATTGTTGTAAATACCTACTTACAAGGAAGTTTACATAGAAGTCGGAATTTAGAAACAACAGTGTAAAGACCCCGGAGAACATGAAGCCTTGGAGTAACCCTTCTTCTGAAAACGAAGGACAACCTCGAAGTTGCTCGAACTTTGCGTATTTCTTTTCATTCATGTTCACTGCAAGCTCCGATGACTACTGCCTTCTCTGCGTGTCGTCGTTTTCAATACTACAACTCTAAGGTTTCATATTCCTCCAGAGTCTATACACTTTTTCCTAGCTTACGATTTGTATGTAAACTTCCGATGTTACTAAAATCCTTCCTTGTTCTAGTCAGCGGTTGTACCACGTCAAGGAATCCGATAATTGGTATAAATTTCAACATTCTTTTGAGCAATCTTAAGCCCAGTTCCATGTCGTCCAACATCAACCATAAAATCCGTGAAATGAATAAATGACACCGTCGAGGGTTTTACCGTAAGCATCTTGACCTTGATTGGATCTATCTCTTTTTTTTGATATTTTTGGAATCTCTTCCGAGCATCTTTGCCAAGCTTTTCACCACAGTCTCAATTAATCATCTGCTCGGTTGTCTGCTCTTTCTGGAGAATTTTTTACCAGAAAGATGTGCGCTTCCCAACGGTTTACAGCCCAATCGTGGCTCGGCGGTGTTCCTGGATGTCGGGCTTGGATATACAGCGGGAAGTTCATCCACGCAGCAGGGTCTCCTAAGCTGAGAAGGAGTCCAAAGTTTCCATCTGGAAGCCCAGTTAAGAGTAAACCAGCACCATGAATCACCACTGCCCTGGTGTCAAACTAGTCACATGGTGGCAAATCTGCCTATTATGCACAAGAGCGACGACTTCCTGGGGTGGTGATGGCCTGACGAAAGCTTTGGCTTCGCTAAGCTCGGAACTCTAAAGAAGCACAATGAAGAAACCAGCAAATTTCAGAGAACGGAAATTTAGCTGGTGCAGCACAACCAGTGTAGAGGGGCCATCCAAATGTCCAAACCTTCAAGACAGATCTAGGAGATGTTTCCTCCAATTTTGCACCTAGTTCCGTCCCTTCTTCGTTGTTAGGTCTTGAAGGGCTCTAATTAGTTAAAGCACCTAGGTCTCCGCCGAGAAATGATCATTGTTTCAAGAAAGGGATATAATTCATTAAAACCTCGTATCAGAGTGCGTGTTCGAGTTTGTAAGCGAATTGGTTGAGCGTCAGTGATTGGATCTTCGATTGATGACAAGCTGAAAAGCTTATGGCTCTGATATGAGGTGCTATGATTCAAAAACAATTAAAAATGCTTTATTTATTTAAGTTTATAATGTCTTATATTAAGGGCATGTAGTAATTTCTATCAAGTACTGTCCGTATAGTTCCAAGTTCAGGCCAGTCAAAATGCAAACCATAACGTTGTCGTCAACCTGCGCACTGACTCCTTAAAAGGATAAAGGATAAAGCTTTCGGCATTGATCAATCCCTGAGGGTTGTGCCATCCATTCGACTTCATTAAACATCGTTTGGAGGTGATTGAATGCATTTCTGGCCTTTACAATAACTCGCGGTAGCCTACCGATGTATTGAGCCAGTGATGCTATCCTCCCAGACAAGTGTGCTACCAATTTCCCGACCCCGGAAGCACGGAGGGCTTGGTGGGTCATGGGCGCGGGGATCGATTCCACGTGTGTGCTGCAGAGCTCCTCCGACCACTGCGCTACACGTTCTCTTTCAAACTGACCCCTTAGGAATAAAAAATTAGTTCGGCATGGAGAAAGGTTCGAACCGGCGGATATCTCCATTTGTGTATCACTTTTTTAAACTGCATCGAATACGTTTTTAGCAGTAAGGTTACCAAAGAACTCATGCGGATTACTTATCAGCCCATTTTTCGTCAGTATACGTTTTACAAGTGAACTCTCAGCAAACTTTTATGTAAAGATGTAGATCCACTGGGTTTGCTGTGCTCCCGTCATATTCATATAACTACCTACTGCATCGGTGAAAACGCTTCCTCCTTGAGGGTCTCCGAAAATTCCACTTATTCATACTGATCCTTCGAAAACGCTTTAATACAGCTGAAAATGTTCTATTTTATATCGCGTGCGAAACGGTCAAAGTGCTTTCCAAGGCACAGGCATCTTAGCATCCAGCTATCAGCAACACAGAAATTCCTAACAGGATCCAAACATGAAATTTCTTGTAAATTTCAATGTGCGAAAAATCAACTTTTCTCAGACTACGGCGGGTATGATATCTATGGTAGAGGAATCGATTTACTTATTACTCTTAATCTATTTGAGAACTGTTTTCAGTCTCTACTAACCTCGTTAAATTCCACTATAATACTATGATATTCGGTGTCGGTCGTTTTCGGCACGTTAGACGTTATTCGCGATTTTCGCTCGGGAAATGCTTATTTCGAGGTTTCGGGCACATTAGAGGTTATTCGAGAGTATCGCTCGGAAAACCCTTATTTCGAGGTTTCAAAGAAATAGGAGAACGTGGATGCAGGAAGAGAAACGGTCGTGAAAAAAAAATGAATTGCATTCACTGTGTACTGTCCAAAGTGGTTGACCAGGTACGCATTGAAATCAGTGCACATGTTCGAGAATATTTTACGAAGTACATTAAGAATTACTTTTATCTTACCTATCTTCATCGTAGTTATTGGCGATCATCTCGCTTCCTGGTCGGGTAATCCTTGATTGGCACTCTATCCGTAACGTTCTCTCAAGTGCACTGTAGTGATCGCCTAGGCCTTGATAGGTGCCCTTCTCAAGGTAACCTGAAATAGTGTGGAAGTCGGTGAAGGAAAAAAGACATAGGTGGTATCCGTGGATCACTAACTCATTATTTTTGTTCACTGAGTGAGAAAAAAATCACTCAAAAAGAGGATCGAAGGGTGATCTCACTGAACTCATCATAGCGAAGGACGACGGATTTGTGATCATCTGTTCTTATCACTAAGATGATAAGGTTTCGAACTCACCACGAATCACATTCCATATGCTCTTCTTGTAGATGATGCCACCATGAACTTTTATTCGAGCTTCATTATTGCTGACCTTTGAGATACAATACGTACACTGAAGATTAAAAATCATAACACTCCAAGTATTTCGATTTGAGAAGATGACAGTCTTACTTGGATTACGAAATCGTTTGCGTACGGAATACCAGAGTTTTGTGACTCTTTGTTTACGATGAAACCATCACCATTACGTCCAAAATATGAGATTACCTGTGATAGTGATATTGAGATAAGAACCTACTCATGGTCATTGAAACATTTATAAACAACGGTAAAAATCCTGCTTTAGAATACTATGTGGAGATAAAGAGTAAAGCGCCCGGTGTTGATTAAGCCTATACGGATGCCGCATGCATTCAACTCAATTCGTAACATCGGCAGTGGTGTATGGATGTATATTTTGGTTGGCAGAATGGTTTTCATGTCTGCCGACGTATCACATCGGTGCTGCTATCCTTCCAGACAATTCTAGAGCCAGTTTACTGACACCGGAGAGACGCGTGGTGGTTTGGTTGGCTCAAAGCATGGCGTCGAGCCAGGAATCACGTATTGCAGAGCACCTCTAACTACTGATTATTTGCGCCCCTCAAGAGCTCTATAGGTAGGTTAGAACAGAGAAGTAAAGAAGTCGATTTTCGTCCAAATTACTGCTTAAACAGAATATTGTAGATGATGTTAACGGTATAACTGGCCCATAATCAATAGTGTAATCGTTATTGATTAATCGATCGTATAATGTACCTGTTTCTCGGTAACCACGCAGCTTTTTGGTGCCATTGCATGATTTAACGCCATAGTGTACGTGCACGTTCGTGTTCGGACACCGTTTTTGTCTGTTGTCCATGCAGAAGCGACATAACCTAATCAACAGCTACAATACATACCAGTAATTTCTTTAGTCTGAAGCAGAAGCACCATGTCCATTTACTTCGTCAAACAATGAGAAAGCGTAACAGAAAGGAACAACCTGGAAATTCAGTAAGTATGCTTCTCATTTCGTACCACCACTCAGGACTAACAAGACATATAACGGTTAAAGAGGACGTTGTACGGATGATGAGAGTATTGTGAAGGAAAAGAAGCGTTAGGGTAGTGAACAGTAAAAGTTTGACGGGTACGTTCGGCATTAGAGGACTGCGTCTATCAATAACACTCACCCGAAATCTTCTCAAATATTTTATAATACTCTGTAAATATAAAAATTAAGGTTTATAACGGAAAAATAGCAGGAAAAACAGAATTTGTATAACAAGAATATAGAGAATTATTTGATCAATGCCGAGGTTGATAGGAAGTCGGTCGTGGGAATTAGGAAGTACATAATTCTCTCCTAATTTTCTGAAATATAAAGAATAAAAGGAGTACAGGACAAATCCGTGGACTGGCAGACCCGATTTCTTCATGAAAATTCTAGAAGAAGAGTAGTATGAATGCTTTTCGAGCGCCTGAAATGAATAAAACCTATGGAGCAACTCCAGCACGCAACAAGGACAAATGAAGACTTCATGCATCAGTCAGGTTATCCCAACGAGAGAGGAAATCATGCAGGTGATAAATTACCGACGCAGATGTTATATAGAAGCTACTACGATTATAATGAACAAATCCGAAGGATGTACGGCCTTCTTTGTAGAACTTCTCCAAGTTCATATAAAACGCTTGGACTTCGTCTTCGCCACAGCTTGATGTCGATGTGTAAGCGATGAATATTGTCAAAGCCGCTATAAGTCCGCATCTTTTCAATCGTATGAGTCCGATTCGGTTTGTTCATTGTTCAATAGGACTGATGTTCATGCCCAAACTCGTGTCAACGAAGATCGCAACGTCGCCGGCCCCTTTACCATTGCATGTTCCGAGGAAAAGGTTTTCTCCGGTATAATAGGCCGTGTTAATTAGGTGGTGTGTTCCCGCTTCGTTCAGAGCAAAGGCCTCATACCTAAGCTTCTCAGCCTAATTAACCAGGTCCCACTTCAAAAAATTCACAAAATAATGATGTATAAAAACAAACTGTTACTAGCTGATTTCCATAATAACTACAATTTATGAGGCCTGCATTATGTTCATAAAGCTATGACAGAAATCTGCTTCCATTTCTATGACGCTTTGAGGAATCTTTTGAAGATGCGCTATGCAATCAACTCTACTCATAGCGTTTTAGAGGTGAAAGGAATGCATATTTAGTCTAAAAATGACTTTCATTGCTGTACCCATTTATTTATTCAATGTTTGTACTCTCCCAGAAAGGTCCGATAATAATTTGGGACTTTGGCAGGGTTGTTTAGCCGAATTCGTATTTCAGAGCACCTTAACCATTGTGCTATATGTGCTCTCTGCGATTCCGTGACAGAAACTTGGAAGGATCACTATGGGTTATATAATGGACTAATGACGCTATGAAACACTAGACAGTTGTTCCGAAATTTTCCGTGGTACCATTGTTGCAACCATTGCCCTTCGGAAAAACGAAAACACAAAGTTCATCTTCCGACAAAGCGTCTGTTTTGAATAAAAATTTGACATCGGAAAACTGAGTCACTTTAGATATAATGTGCTTCCACCACAACTCGTTACGACTATTTAATAAAAGGATAAAAGGACAAAGCTCTCGGCGTTGATCAATCACTGAAGGATGGGCCATGCATTCGACTTAATTAAGCATCGTCTGGAGATGATTTAGTGCATATCTGGCCTTTTCAACGACTTGCGGTAGCCTACCAACATATCGAGCCATTGCTGCAATCCTCGCAGATAAGTTTGGTACCAATTTACCGACCCCAGAGGGATGGAAGGCTTGGTGGGGCATGGGCGCCGGATCGATTCCATGTGTGTGTTCCAGGGCACCTCCGACCATAGCGCCATACGCGCCCTACGACTATTTGAAAGTAGGCTTAATTTCAAGATAACAAGAACTTTGCATGGTTCGTACAGAAGGCGACTATTTTTCACCAAGACCTAGGAACACTGCATCTCGTTGCCATGGCACCTTATGAAAACTAAAAGTTCAACCGGTAGTGGTTATTTGAGACTTCTATGAATTGCGAATATTAGATATCCAGTTATCTAAGAAGTTAATGTCATAACACGAGCTCATTAACCTGTATTTTTCAGCAGATCATTGAACTTCTGGAACCATGGACAATCAGTGAAGAGCAGATTGTAGATTTCTTCAACACTTAGAGGAAACACGTTGTCCAGCAGCAGTTTTCCTTCATGGGAATCGCAAGGACAATGAACGTCCTCCTGAAAAACAAAGTATATTCTATATGTCATGCCTTCACACAACGTACTTGTTCAAGTGACGATTGAGAAGAGGCCTCGGCGATCGAGGGGAATTCGTCCACAGGTCGTGATATCGAAGGTGTTTCATTGGGAGTGTTCGGCTCACTGAAATAAGAAAGCGTTTTGAAGACCTCCTTTTTGCAACAGACCGGAATAACCAAACGCCTCTCAGCTACTCTGGAAACTTCCGTTTGACTCACAGCAAAGATAGGAGTAACTCGTCCAATCATTCACTTAGGTAATTTTAGTCATAAACAAGGCTTTCCCATGGATTCCACAACATAATGTAATATGTTTTTTCCAGTCCACAACTCTTTTTCCCTCGAATATCGAAGTTCTTCTCTTCATAAATAAGCTGTTGAATGAGGTATCATTGTCGCGCTATCGCTTATAAAACTGCTGTAAAAATGATGTTCCTAAATTATTTAGCTAAAATGAGGTTAATAAAAAAGTTATATTCAGCTAAGATACTCTCTAAGGTCTCCTTCGTTGTTAAGATAATGTATGAACTCCTATCCTCCCAACGGTTTACCGCCTCATAGTGGATGGGAGGTGTCTCTGGGTGTTGGACTGCAATGTGGAGTGGGGATTCACCCCTGCAGGGTCTCCCAAGCTGAAAAGGAGACCGGCGTTTTCATCAGGAAACCTAGCCAAGAGTAAACCAATATCAGGATCCACCACCGTCCTGGTATCAAACTAGTCGCACGGTGGCAAATCACCCTCTGATCCACAAAGGCGGCGTAGTGGTGACGACCTGGGGTAGATTTTGGCCAGGCTGACCTCGGGATTTCAGGGAGCCACAATGGCTAAACCAGCACAACTCCGAAAAATGGAGATTATGCTGGGGCGCGCACAACCAGTGAGGACAGGCTGTCCAAGTGTCCAATGAGCTTATGGAAAGTTAGGATACTGTATGTGGTCTACTGGGAGAAGTGCAAGCAAAATAGAATAAGAGAATTTTTCTTTGGCACCTACCAGCATTCGATCGGTTTGCTGATGGTCAGCTCTCTGCTGCAATTTTTTTTGTCGAAGACTCATCTTATTAAACCATTCTTTCTTTCTGGTTAGAGATTGAGAATATTTAAGGTAGGTGAAAAACAGGACTTTAAAACGAATGCATTGAAACTTTCTAATGCTTAAAAAAATTTCTTGAACACGGTCAATCAGTAGGGTACTATCATGGAAACATCGAAATGAAAAATATCCATCATTTTAGAACTACCACTGCTCTAGTCAAAAACGAATATGAATAGCACTAATGGAAATCACGCTCATAATTATAACAAACTGCAAGTAACTTGGTACGTAAGGCAGCAGCGAGTACAAACCGCAGGGCGGCCGCGTGGCGCAACGGATAACGCGTCTGCCTACGGAGCAGAAGATTGCAGGTTCGAATCCTGCCGTGGTCGTAATCTTTTGTTCTTCAAATGCTCCACATTTTCCACCTTAGCTATCTTACGATCAAGGTCATGTGACGAAATGGCGTAAATGGATTGTAGAGCATTGTGTTTTCATTTTGACGATTATAGTAGAACGAGAAGATGTGTAGGTATGGACGAGGGGAATTCACTACGATAAGAACTCTAAATATGTAGAAATGTTAAAAATCGTGTTCAACTTACGTCGGTTGCATCAACAAGCGTTTCGCTTTCGATTTAGCCGAACGACGTCGACTGTCCTGAAAATTTATGCGATGAAATTAGAATAAGAGGCACACTTATAACACTACAGTAGAGTTTATTTTGATAAGGAGTGTAACTAAACGAAAAGAACACCCAGAAGAGTATGATACATAAAAAATCATATCAGCTAGCTAGAGACCACTTATTAAAAGTTTATCAATTTATTCCTCCCAACGGTTTACCCTCTCGTCGTAGCTGGGAGGTGTTCCTGGGTGCCCTGCTGCAATTTACAGCGGCGGGATACATACAGCTGGCAGGGTCTCCTAAGCTGAGAAGGAGTCCGGTGTTTCCATCAGGAAGCCTAGCTGAGAGTAAACCAAAGCCAATACCAGGACCCACCACCGTCCTGGTATCAAAGTCGCATGGTGGCAAATCTCCCTCTGATCCGTTAGGGCTACGACTGCCTGTAGTGGTGAAGACCTGGAGCATACTTTGGCCAGGCTGACCTTGGAATTCCAGGGAACCATAGTGGTTTAACCAGAAAATCTCCGAAAAATGGAGATAATGCTGGGGCCCGCACAACCAGTGAGGACGGGCCATCCAAGTAATAAGTATCAATTAATTAAATACTAAAATAGATGTAGAAAGTTAAATCTTTGAATTCTCTATAGATCTAAAGATGTTCGAGAAGAAAAAAAGGCCGACCTCTAGTATATGAGTATATGCGATACTCTTCTTTGAAAAAGTGGATCTATCGATGCTTATACTTAAAGGAAGCTAAAATGACTGGAGAAAGATCTAATAGATTTTACTACCAGACTAATCCTAGAGTTAGTTGCAAGCTGATTTCTAGGTCATTCTCTAATAATTGTTTGAATTTCCTCTTAAAATAGAAAGAACAACATACAACTGTCTGTAATAGAATTCATTTGTCCAACTACTCCGCGCTGGTTCCTAGCCTAATTGAACGCCGAGTTAATTTCTTCGGCCGAGTAATTCTACGATTACTTGTACTGAAAAGTATTTGAGCTACAAACAAACAGAATAATGGACTACATTGATCTTTTTTCGACACTTTTCTACTCTTTTTATAATTTTACACTAGCCATCACCAAATCTGTTGCGCGAATTCAAGTACTTCTTGCCTTCGATTTGTTCTCCTCGCATTCACCGTCTACAAAAGTCTGTGCAATTCGTGTGTTGCTACGGCTGCTGCTTGAGGATTTCATCCTCTTTATTAATGTCATAGAAGACTGACCGTTTCGATTCTTCTTACAATTATGGAGATATCTGGCTTAGGGCGTTCCCACGTGGATTAGAGAAGAGCGTTGCGAGGATCGAACTAGCACCTTTGCTTCCTGATAGACGGCATCACTATCCACAGCGCTTTTACCCATACATTTTGACAACATTGAACGTGACGATAGCGATCTTATTTGGAAAAGGTGCAATGTCATCTTGAACTTGGTAGCTGATCACTTCCAAGATGGGAAAATAAGAATAGAGGGACGGATTTGCTCAAGAAAAACTGATATCAAACAGTCGTTTATGAAGCGAAAAATGAATAACCGACTGAATAAAGTGTGTTATCCCAAACGGATACCCTATGTACCATAATTCTTAGTTCCTTAAGACGGCTATTCCTTGTGTTAAGTGGCTATCCTTTGTCGAAGAAAAGCATAACAGAACTGAATCGTTTTCTTCCAACAAAAACCTTCGACTATATGAATGGACCTATGCATTCAATAATTCCGTTTTTATTCAAACGATTAATCTCGGTCATTCGACTGTTCATAAGAACCTTTATACCTCTGGAAGAAACCTAGGTGTGTGGCAGCAAACCTCTCTACGATCTACAATATTTGGCGACTGACCGCTGTGAATTGAAACTTCTCTGAAGTGCAAAGGAACCACACTTAAAGAGCACAGTTATTATGTCAGTGTGGAGAAAAGGTGACAGATTGCCGTAGAAACCCGAAATGTCATTAAGTAAAGTATGTTTTTCTGTGTTCACATTTCATTCTGAGAACTACAAGCACAAAACATCATGAAAAATAAAATGACAGTAAGATTGGATAAACAAGTCATTTACATACTAAACTAGTTGAGGAGCTTCGACTGCTCCCAAAATCGAAATTGAAGGTTACAAATCACTTTTACGTAGTTTCTCTTCTCATGAATAGCTTTTAGCGGAATTCTTTTGGAACAATTAAGTCCTAGTGCGAGAAGGTGATAAACATAAGTACAAACAAAAGTCGATGAGAGACAGAGTTGAAGTCGAAGGGCCCCCATGGTGTGGTGGTAAACGCGTTAGTTTGCAGAAAGTGTAATGGAGCGTTCGTTCCCCACCGCAGACACCTGCGGTCCACAGTTTTGCAAATATCTCAGTATCATTATTGTGGTTGTACAACAAAACAGCTAGAAAGATTGATGAGGTCTTAGAATTTGTATTACTTTACATTATGATAGAAGCGAAATATTCTTTTTGGTCCTCGATTCAGTCATCTAGTTCGGTTTGACGTAAATTGGAGTCAAAAGAGTTAATTCGTAAATGCAATAGAAAGCCATAAGCATAAACTTAAGGAGCTCGACATAAATTGCCAAAATCGTATCATATTTACAAAATTCGCCGGTATAGTAAATGTGGAGCTTAATTCTACAGTGACCTGGAAAGGAATGACCTATGGGTGGAGTCTATTGTTCCATTGAATGGATCGAAGAGGACTTAGTGGACTTGGAATACAAATCTACCGATCCAGTAGCGTTTTACAGAACTGTATTTCCTATGAATAATTATGAATTTTCTTTTATTAAGCGTGGAAATGTAAAAAAGGACGGCTCGATATAGCGTCCCAGGTTCACCAAGCCTTCTATTCCTCCGGAGTCTGCAAATTGGTACCAGACCTGTCTGGGAGAATGATAGTACTGATGTGATACATCGGTAGGCCACCACGAGGTACAATACATCGTTAGGTCGCGATTGTGTGGGCCAGATATGCACGCAATCACTTCTAACGATGTTTAATGAAGCCAAATGCATGGTGTATCTCTCATGGGTTGGTCAACGTCGAGAGCTTTATCCTTCATCCTACAGTCGACCGAACATATATATATATACATATATATATATATATATATATATATATATATAACTTTTACAAGTTGACCAATTCCGTTGGTGACCGATGCAAGAAAACGAATCGAATGGAAAAAAAGTTAGGACCAGTACGGCACATGAAGACGGACCATCTATAATAACTGAGGATGCGATATCATCTTTGAAGACAATGCGAAACGGCGAATGACAAGAGGAAGGAAAAAAACGTCAAAAAAAAAAACACGACTTCAAATGTACACTGAGATTGCTGA